TTCAGAAGTGGTAAATAAAAGTCTAATGGACACAAAAAAGTTTCTTTCTTTAAGAAATAAGAAAATATGTGTAGTAGTATATAACATACCCGAATAAGAAGTCAAAGAAAAAGAAGGAAATGAATTAAAGAAATAACAGCCAAGAAAATATACCAACATGAAATTTACATATGAGAATATGTATTTTTTGCTAAGATTTTTCAAAGAACTATTTTTTTTCCAAAAAATTTACAAATATCAAAAAAAAAAATCCATGAAATCTAATGATGTGTAAGTCTTTCGATGGAGAGAGAAATAGAAAAATTTTAAGCTACTCATAGTTTATGTAAAACTCCCTAAGTATATCAAAACAAAATTATATATAAAATCTTTAAATCATAATTATAAAAAGTTTTAAATAAAGTATTTAAAATGTTACTACCATATTAAGTAGTGTTAAGTTATAAAGTAACATGATAGCAGGACTATATTAATTTTAGAAATCACAGAGAACAGAACTCATTTCTTTTGTAGTAGCAATTTATGCTTTCTCATTTCTCAAAAAATTCCAGCTTAGCTTAAAAGTGGGTTTAGTAACCAACTAAACCCATTATTATTTAACCTCTGCCGAAGTTAACAGTTCCAACAAATTAAATACAAATGAATGTTTGCCTTAGATTTTAAACTTTCTTTTCCTTGATAAATTTAGAATGCACACGTATTATCAAAAGTGTTTACTTCTATTTTAAAACAGCTAAATTCAAAAATATACCTTTAGTGTAAATGTTTATAGTCACGTAGTTTACATTTAATATTTGAATACTAAAGAAAAATAAAATGTCTACTGTAATTCAGTATAGCACAGACATGAAATTCTGTACTTTGCACTCTTTAGCCTCCATTTCTCACTTCTTCCACTATCAGCACCACAGTGGTAACTTAGAAACTGTTATTTCATTCTTTATCTCTATATATTTTTATCTCTGTAACTTTTAAAATTCCATACATGCGTGAGATCATGCAATAGTTTTCTTTCTGTATGTGGTTTGTTTCACTCAGCATAATGTCTTCTAATTTCATTTATGTTATGGTAAATAACATGGTCTCTTTTTTTAACAGTTGAATGATGTTCCAGTCAGTGTGTTAATGTGTGTGTGTGTGTGTGTGTGTGTGTGTGTGTGTGTGTGTGTGACAGTTTCTTCATTCACTCATCAACAGAAGCCAAGTTTGTTTGTATGTGGTGATTACTGTGTTATGTAATTACACTTCAATGAACATGGGAATGCAGATAACTTTGTGAGCTTATGATTTCATTTGGGTATTCACCCAGAAAGATTTCTAGATCACACATTGGTTGTGAAAATAGAAAATTATCCTGTCTTCCTTTGTCATGGATGGCTTTTATCAGACTGAGATAATGCCCATCTACTCCAGTTTTCTGGTTTTTTATCATGTATACCTGTTGGACCTTGTCAAATGTTTTTTTCTGCATCTATTGAGATGATTATGTAATTTTTGTCCTTAGTCTGTTGATATGGTATATTAAATTTGTTGATTTTCACATGTTGAACCATCCTTTTATCCCCAGGATGATTCCTGCTTAGTCATGGGGTATATAATCTTCTTGATGACTTGCTGTATTCTGTTTGCCATTATCCTACTGAGGATTTTTTCATCCATGTTCATTAAGGAGATTGGTCTGTAGTTCCCTTTTCCGGTTGGCTCCATCTCTGGTTTTGGTGTCACATTAATACTTGCCCCCAGGTATGACTTTGGTAGTATTAGTTCCCTTTCAATTTCATTTGAAAGTCTGAGGAGTAATAGCATTATATCTTCTCTAAATTTCTTAGAATTCATCAGTGAGTCCATCAGGACCTGGGCTTTTCTTTGTTGGTTATTTTTAATTACATCTTCAATTTTATTGACTGATATTGGGTTATTTAGAATTTTTATGTTTTTTTGGATTAGCTTTGTTAATTCATATATATGTAAGAATCTCTCCATTTTCTCTGTTTTTTCTGTCTTTTTAGAATAAAAGTTCTCACAGTAGGTATTGCTGATCTTCTGGATTTATGCAGGTTATGTTGTTATTTCACCCTTTTCATTCCTAATTACATGAATTTGATTTTTTTCTCTCTATTTTTGATAAGGTTGGCTAAGATTTTATCAATTTTATTTAATTTTTCAAAGAACCAACTCTTTGATTCATTGATTCTTTGCATTGTTTTCTTAGTTTCTATTGCATTAATTTCTACTCTGACTTTTTAAATTTCCTCCCCTCTACAAACTTTGGGTTTGACTTGTTTCTCTTTTTTGGAAATGTGTGGTTAAATGTTAGATTGTTTATTTGAGTTCTTTCTGTTTTCCTGATACTAGAATTCAGTGCTATAAATTTCTCTCTTATGACTATTTTCATTGTCCCCTAAATTCCAGTATGTTGTACCAGCATTATCATTTAATTGTAGAAATTGTCTAATATTTTCTTTAATTTCATCTGTGACTCGTTCAGGAGAGTTGTCTTAGTTACTTTTCCCTCATTGCTAAGACAAAATACCCACAGGCCAAAATTAAGGAAGGAAAGGTTTGTTTAGCTTACACTTTGTGGAGGTTTTAGCTTATATTCAGCTGGTTTCAAGACAGAATGGCACAGTACAGGGGCAACACTTCAAGGCAGCACAAGACAGCCAAAGCGGCAAGAGCAAAAGAGGGGAGGAGAGTAAGCCTCTCTTCCTCCCTTATATTGTAAGCAGGCTATCCCCACTGAGGGAGCATGTAGCACTCACATCATTTCCATGCCCTCCCCTTGAACAGGCTCGGGATGAATACAAAGAACCCTGTCCCCTGATAAGTGACTTCTAAACTTCTCAAACTGACACAGTGAACAGCATCCCAGAGCTGCAAGATCATGTCCTTTCCACCCCAAGATGTAGAACTTCTGAGTCACTTAGCTAAGGGTCTAGACTCCTCAAATTGACACAATATATTAACCGTAACAAAGGTGTTATTTAATTTCCATGTTTTTATGGAGTTTTTGTAGGTGTTTTTGTCATTGATTTCCAATTTCAATGCACTATAACCTAATGGTATGCATGGGATAATTGCCATTCCTTTGCATTTACTTAAGCATGTTCTATGAGCCAGTTTGTGTTCTATTTTGGGGAATGTCCCATGTGCAGGTGAAATGAGTGTGTATTCTGATGTTGTGTGGTGGAACACTCTGTAGACATCTACTAACTCCATTTATTCACAGGTTTGGTTCAGTTCTGATATTTCTTTGTTGCTTTTTGTTAGTTGATATATCTATTTGTGACACTGGGATATTAACGTCCCCCATTATAAGTGTGTTAGTGCTTATTTTATCTTTCTTGTCTGTTAATATTTGTTTAATATACTTGGGTGCATCAATATTTGGTGCATGTATATTTATGATTGTTGTCTCTTACTCTTGGATTGTTCCCTGAAAAAGCAGGTAGTGACCTTCTTTGTCTCTTTTGATTAGTGTTGGCTTGAAATTCACTTTGCCTGCAAATGGAATTGCTGCCCCTGCTTTTTTCCAGGTTCTTGTCACATGATGTACTGTTTTGGATAAGAACTAACATTAAAATGTCCATACTACCCAAAACAATATATAGATCTAATGCAATCCTCATCAAAATATCAATGATAATCTTCACTGTAATGGGATAAAACAACCTTAATATCAGTATGGAACCAAAAAAAAGTACTATGAACAGACAAGGAAATTTTGAGTAAGGAAAATTAAATTGGATGTATCGAAGTTCTTGATTAAAATTATCTAACAAAGATACAACAAAGTACGGTACCAGTGTTAAACACATAAGCAGATGAGTAGAAAATTAAAAATCCATAAATTAACTCAAATGTACACAGGTAAACTTCTTTTACCAAGAGCACCGGCATAATGAGAAAAGAATAATCTTTAATAAATAGTCCTAGGAAAACTAGATTTCTGCAAGCAAAAGAATGGGCCTTTTACTTACATCATAAAAAATTGGTATCAATAAAAAACATAAATGTAACAACTCCAACTATAAAACACAGAGAACAACACATAGAAACCTCTATTATTATTCAACTTATACAGAGAAAGGGGAACTGCTGTACTGCTTTAGGGAGAACATAAATTAATGTAATCATTATGGAAAAACTACAGAAGTTTCAGACAGATTACATTTTAAAGATATCTGTTACAGTAACACTTAACTCACAGTTGTCCTATTTAGACATATTGTAGTTAAACATGAAAATGGCTATATACTGTTCAAAATCTATAATTTTTATCACCTTTAAATTCAGTAAAAATAAACTTTAATATTAAGATGTTCAAATACACTTATCTTTGATTTTCATTTCACAGAGGAAGAATATATCTATCAGAGAATGATAACTGCAGTGTATAATTCATATATGAATTATTACATAATTCATAAATTGTGTAATTTATGAATTACATAAAAAAGTATTGTCTATCTCTTTGTATTTGATTGCCAAAAATACAAAGAGATAACCTCTTTGTTCTTAGCTTTGGCAGTGATCATTTTGGTATTACATCAAAACTTCTGGCTAGAAAAGCAAAATAAATAAATAAATAAATGGGATTGCATTAAGCTAAAATCTTTGATCATCCAAAAAATAGCCAACAAAATAAAAATGTATGAATCATGTGAATTGGGAAAAATTATTTGTAAATAAAAAGTTGATTGTTAATATTAAACTAATTTTCGGATCAGAGTTTTTTTGTCTTTCTTCTTTTGGTTTATGTAGGTTAAATAAAAATGAGGTTACTCATAGTGAGTAATAAGAGAATTTCTCTTCTAAAGTAACATAGTATAAAAAACCTTTCCTTGAAATAGTTTTGTGTCTCATATAAATTTAGGTATACATATAAAATTACTCTGAAAAAGGAAATGGTAATTTACAAATAACATGGTAAAAGTATAAGAAATTTTTTCAGTTATTTTTAACCTAAATATTTATGAAGATTCTCATTTACTAGTACATATTTGATTTAACATGTGAAAATCAATGCAAATGGCAGACATTGTGGAAAGGTTCAGCAATAGTTTTTTTATCGTGCTTGATTGTTTGGGTTATCATCATTGCTATAGCTTAGACCAAAAATGTCCCCCAAAAGTCTCAAATCTGGAAGTGAAACCCAGTGGGAATTGGGGGTTCCCTCAGGCTGTGCCCAGAAGAGTGTGTTCTTGTCCAGACTCCCTGCTTCTCTCTCTGCTTCCTGGTGACCAGGCAGTGTAAAACTTTTCTCAGCCATGCAGTTCTGCTATGCTGTTTCTGCCTTGACAGCTTATGAGGACATTTTATTTTGTTTTGTTTTGTTTTGTTTTTGTAGTAAGGGGGATTGAATCTAAGGCTCCCTGTTCAGTCCTTGGTTTTAAATTCTTTTAAAAGTCCAGACAAGGTCTTGCCTAATTTCCCAGGCTGGTTTTGAAATTGTGATCCTCCTGCTTCAGCCTCCCCAGTTGCTGAGAAGACAAGAATGTGCCATCATACCTATCCCCTTTCATTTTTTGTTGAGTTGATATGCAGAACACAGCTTTGGAATATTTGCTGGTTTATTTCCAAAATCACTAATATATTTTTGTTATTCCCAGAGAAATATTCTTACTGTACTATATTAACCACATTCCTACCTTAGTGTAGAGAACCTCGTTGGTCTCTCGTTGTACCCCAGAGAGAAATGGTAGTGAGTATGAGGAAAATAAAGACAGAGATAAGAGCTAGGTCAGAGGAGGTGACCTCAACTGATCGACAAGAGGATCTAACTTCAACAGTAGGGGCACTTATTTATATTGTTGCAAAGTTAGTATCAGGAGAGGTAATGTTGCCTAGTGACTAACAGCTGTAGTTGTCCAGGCAGGATGTTTTTCTTAAGGTAGCTTGACTGCCTCAGGCACTCTGTCTCTGTCCTGCCTTCACACATATGACCAGTTTCCAGCTCCCATAGTTCCCAACACCTTCGAGTTAAAACAGCAGCTGCAGACACCCCAACAAATCTCCGGTGTTCATTTCCCTTAATCCTTCTTCAGTTTTGAAAGTTTGCATCTCGCTTAGCTTCATTTATTATATATCATAAAAAACTATTATTTAATACAGAATATTATCTATAAATATACACAATGCAAAATCTGATAAAATGTTGACCATAATACTGTACATGTAAATATTCAAAAGGTACTTAGATAATGTAAAGAAACTCATTGTTATCTTACCCGTAATGCTGCCAAAATAATAATACAAAACTAGATGGTGTTTGAAAGTTACTGGATGGCACATATGCAGATAAAAACATGAATATTTGGAAATTTAGTATCCAACATGTAGAGCTTATAGTAGTCCTTATCATCTTAGTTCATCCACTCAAATAAAATGATTTTCATTTATCCTTTAAATGGTAAATATGCAATATTCATTATGAAATCGTAAGAACATATTAGCGTAGAGAGTGATGAACTTCTTTCATTTAGATTTTATGATGTGACCTTTGTTTCAACAGTAACTTAACATTTTAATTAAATCTAAAATCTATCCATTTAAGATGCCCTTCATCCTTTGGTACCACATTTTAGTGAAAGGATTTTCCATTGTAATTGTAACAGTTAGTGACAGATGTTATTAACAATTCTCAATGATTTAAGTTTATGTTATTTACTTTAAATATCTGTTCTTTTATTCTAAAGTTGTGAATTAGTTCCTACAAAACTGATATATTTTAGGTAACATATATATTAGTACTAAAGTGTAAATGTTTTAATAGCCTGATATAAACAGTTACTGAATATAACATCTGTATCAATTTGCTAATTGTAAATATCTTAAGACATGGCAAGTCCCCAAAAACCAACCGAAACGTACAAGATTGGTGCTGTACCACACAATGCCTAGTATATAACAAAGATCCTCCATGCTATCTTTGAAGACTGGTACAATTTTTGTTCCTTTGTACTTGCCTTATTACTTTATATATTACTTCCATATAACTCAGGTCAGCATAGAACCAGAATTCTCATTGTTGCTGACACTTTAGATCTTTCTTCTTGCCACATGGCCCCAGTGGGCAATAAGGAGACTTGTCTTTTTAAAGGACATGTTCGTGATCTAAATTATTATTTATTCAATTCTGTTTTCATAATTAATTGTTTTTCATTCTAATGCAATATAGCATAAATGAGAAAGAGACTTCATATAATCAAATTTTTAAAAACACCTCCTTTTAAGAGAAAGAAAAGTTCTGAAACACAGTTGCTTTTACCACCTCAAAATATCACAGCAAATCAAATTTGCACACTATTGTTTGGATACAGGCACAGGCACACATATACAAACCTAGACAAATACGTATCTTATACAATAAATAATGTTTTTTGAACAGCAAGAAGGTCCCCTTGCAACTGAGCCTCTGACATGGCCAAACCTCAGATCCATTTCCAGTGATCTCCCTCTTGGTTCTCATGTCCTTGAGTGAGGTCCTCCCTTGCATGCAGACTGGCCTTATGACTTAATTTTACACAGTAGAATGTAATACTGTTGCACTTCCTCGATGAGGTTGCAAAAGACTTTTAACCTCACTGTCATAGAATATCTTTATTTCTTTCTTCCCCTTCTTGCTCATGTGGCCAGGAACTGAAGAGACCATCAGCCTCAGTCCAGTATCCCAAAAGCAAGTGAATCCAAGCAACAGCTCTATAAGTGAGATGAGAATAAAATTATTTCATTCTGGGGCTTTCAAATGAAATCCAAAGCCTCCTTGATACCTTGACTGAAGCTTCACGAGAGACTGAGTATAAATGATCAAGCTAAACTGTGTCCAGTTCCTCCCTGGGAGTATAACGTGGGCATCCTATCATCATGCACTGCAGCTAATACATACATACATCTACCCATTCTTCTAACTAGTTTCAGAAAAAAAAACTATCAGTTCTACACATTGTTCTTCATGTCCGTATCAACTTTTTGAAAGTAGATTTTTGTCACATATATTTTAGGTATAAAGCATCATTTTGTAAGAATTGTTCATATATTACAAATGTTACTATAGTAAGTCAAATTAGTGTGCTCAACGTTTCACATATTTGCCCAAATTTTTGCTTTTCTGGCAAGCACGGTTGACACATACTCCTTTAGCAAAAATTCTGTGTGATATATCTTTATTCAATGTAGCCATCATATTGTACATTACATTTTAGACTTAATCATCCTACATATTTGCTACTGTACATCTATTGACTTACTTGTTCGCATTCTTTCCTGGAAATCATTCTTTTATTCTCTATTTCTGTGTATCTGAATTTTAAAATTTTCTATATGTAAGAGAGACAATGACATATTTTGTTTCTATGTCTGCCTATTTCATTTCTCATACTGTAATCTAGGTCCATCTATTCTATAACAAATGATAGAATTTCTCTTTTAGATTTTTAAGGCTGAATTTTATATGTACATATATTTCACATATATTGCATACATATCATGATGTATATCCACAAATTATATATCATGATATATATATACACATATATATATTTACACTTTTTTACCCATTCATTCATGGATAGATATTTAGATTCATTCTACATCTTCACCTTTGAGCATACTATTGCAGGAAACATAGGAGTGCATTCTTAAAGCAATAATTTCATTTCTTGGGGAAAAAAAGAGATTTTTCAGTAATAGAGCATTTCTTTTTTACTTTCACAATAACCTCCATACTGTTTTCCACAAGGGCTAAACCAATTTACATTTTTGTCAAAACACTACAAATGCAGCATTCAGTAATTTTTAAGCACATCAGTACTTTTTATTTTTTTGTTTGTTTGTTTGTTTGTTTGTTTTTGTTTTTCTCCGGTACCAGGAACCGAACTCACGACCTTGCGCTTGCCAGGCAGGCGCTTTTGCCGCTGATCTAAATCCCCAGCCCCCATCAGTACTTTTTAAATAGATCACATCTCTGTTAAGCTTGTAAAGCAAAGAAATAACCACACTATTATATAGTAGTCATAAAGAAATAATAATAATTTACCAATTATTACTATGGCTATGTCCTTATTACACCAAGAAAAATTTAAACATTTTATTGTAATATTATAAAAATTTTATAAATCTGATTATCAGACAAATGTAGTTTATAAGTATTAAATAAAAGGGAAAATAGTATTTTGCCTGTATCTGAGCAGACTCAGACTGCAGTATTCATGTGTAATGGAAAAGAGAAAAATAAAATAATATCTTGAGTTTTTCAGCCTATCTTGTCATTTTTACAGAGATGATGAATCACTTTTAAGATACTGAATCTTGCAAGGAATGCCAGTTTCCATGTGTGTGAAGATTTGTGGAGAGCCTTATTACCTCGGTAATATTAAGAAACATGAATGCTCTTATCAAAGTCGAGCAGTTTTGCAGAAATTGAACACACTATTAAGTGGGAATGCTGAATCGCCAATTTCTTTCACATTTTTGCTAATACATTATATTCAGCTAACATAGTTCCCCTATCTTAATTTAGTCAGCACATGATAAATTTAATGCTCCATTTGAAAATATGTGAAATTGTAATAGACGGTGTTCTATAATTGGTTGATTCATTAGGTGGTTTAAAAATCCATGCAAGCCAGAACACTAATAACAGAACACATGTGAAAATGCTCAGGCTTTAATAGCATTGAGAAAATTTTACTTTCAAGATTAAAAAAATCTAGCTGAAGGAAAAGAGAAAGCATTTCTTTTTATACATATATTTTTACTACAGAAGGAAAACAATTTCCCAAAGTAGAAAAAAATCTCAAAATGTACATGCTTACTATAAGATCTCTCCATGGAAATGGGTAAAAGTATTTGCAGATAGCTATCTGAATGACCTTCAAAGGTATTCATTCACTGCAGGTATGAGTCAGCTCAACAGATTAGCATGTGTAATACAATGTTAAATCACAAGGTACATAGTTGTGATAATTTTCCATCTATCATCTATCTATCTATCTATCTATCTATCTATCTATCTATCTATCTACCTATCTATCATCTATCTGTCATCTATCTACCTATCATCAGTTTGTCTGTATATCTGTGTATTATCTATCTATCATGTATATCTCCATCTATGTGTGTATTCATAAAGTAGTTATACAATGCACACTTATTATTTAGTGCTGTGATCAAATTGATATCTTCAAAAAAGAAAGATAAAACATTGTCAGGATTTAGATAATCTATAAGTTAAATCATTTTTTATCCTTTTCAAATGTTATCAGAGTGAGACTGGATGAGTGTTTATTTAGTGCAGATATTTAAAGCTGTTGCCCTACAGTTAGGGAAAAAAAATCTTTAATTTAGGAAAACTGAAATGTAAAAGTTTGCATGTGATGACTCTGTGTCCTTTCTCTAATCCCAAATGTGTAGCTGTACAAAGTTTCTTAAATATAAAATACACAGAAGTAGGTGATTTATCCACCTAGTCACACACACACACAGCAAGTATTGTGTGAAAATTTATCATGGGTGTTTAATGTTCACCAACTTAATATTCCACTTGTCATTTTTGGTTGCATTTTACAAAATATTTGCTTTTGATTCTATTATTTTGAAGAGAAAAGTGGGTAATCAAAGTAATGCACAGACATTATTCACATCCATTATATTTTTAAGTAAGTTCAAGATAGATTCCGTTGGGCTCATTTATATTTTAATTTCCTAATTTTAAACTTTGTAAATATTTATGGGATATCATGTCATAACTTGATATATGGATAAAATGTGTACTAATCAAATAAGGGCACTTAGCATTTCCCTCTCCTTAGACAGTCATCATTGTTTCACATTGAGGACTTTCAAACTTCTCTCCCAATTATTTATAAAATACATAAAAAAATCATAAATGATAGCGATCTTCTTGTGTCAATACTACAACTTATTCTTCCTATCTAACTGCATTTTTGTTACTGTTGTGTTAACCCTCCTTCCACCCTCCCTGTCCCCTGCCCTTCTACTGTCTTTGTTTCCTCTGAAATCCTGTTAGACAGGATCCTTTCCTTATTCATTTCTGATCTTTCATGCATGTTTTCGTGTCCCTTTTGTCTCCTGGATCCCTGCTGAGAGCAAAAATGTTTGCAAAATACAGAAGCTTGTAGAACAGGCAGATAAATCGTTTTTAAAAAGGCTTCCTCGTGTATGCTTGGTAAATTAATGAAAATCGATATTCCCTCATAAGAGACCAAAAACTTTTAGCTTCTCAGGAATATTTCATTTTCTAACAAAATTTATGTAATATTTTTCCAGGCTTTTGTAATTAGCTTCACAGTAGTTTCTCTTGCCCATATTATTCATTTACTGAGCGTAGACCGAGCAGAGGGTTTTGCTTCTGGGTGCAATATCCTGTCTTCTCTGCAGACAAGAGTTCCCCATAATTTTACCACAGTCTAGACATTTTGTAGAAGTTAAATAAATTATTTTCTCTTTCTATAACAGTTGGTGAAAACAAAAGCAAGGGAAAACAAACAAAAGTGTTCAGGAAAACCACCTTTTTCTGTTTGTCAAATGAACCTTTTTCCTCTAAGTCTAGGAAATAAAAATAGAGTTCCTGAAATTCTGTGGCCATAATCTATATTTAGTTGACTTCTTACTTTTTATTCCTTCCCAAAAGTTACACACAAGAATGAGCTTGTTTTTACGTTCATAATCACAGAATGTAACAGTTGTAGTCATATGATGCTCTACATAAGGGGTAATGCTGATATTTTTAAGTAGACCACCTACTACCAAAACACTAGTCCATTGTTCTCAGACTGTGAATAAATGCACGTATAAATGCACACAGACTTCAAGTTTTGAGAAATCTGTGAGGAAAATAGCTCTGTCTAACTCAATTTTGTAAATTTTGTAAGAATTAAGTAATGTCATATTAAAGTCTCAAACATCACTTAATCTGTGCTACGTATGAAAGTACATCATAGCAGACTCCAAAATAAAATTTATTGTGGGCATTATTCTAAGGTGTAGCCATCCTAGAATCAAATTAAATGAGGCTCTCATTCTTAAAATTGAAGCTCAATATGTTTCATATAACTTTATCTCTATTCTGCTGAACATAGTAGAGACCTAACCCATCATAAACATAGATAAAACGATGGATAAAGGTAGATAAATAGATCGATAATAGTAATGTCAAAAATAAAATCAGAAGAATTCATATCTTAAAAGTTTCTTTTCACTTATTCTTAAGGTTATTTATAACAGATGCCATAGTATATAAACCATTATTGATATTCAATGGATATTTGAAAATGGAATTGGTTGCTTTCAATGGCAAGCAAAATCCATTTATTTAAATAGTTGGATGTTCATAATTCTTTTTACCACCTAAAATTTGGACCAGCAATGGTGTAATCAGAAATATGTAACTTTTGCAAGAAAAATCATTGTTTATTGTCACAAAATATTAAGCACTACCTAATTTAAGAAAAATTAAGTTACCACATCAGAAGAAATAAAGTTTTAAAAAATATATATCAGTCTCATATTTAATATTAATTAATATTTACCTCTATAAAATTATTATTTCAACTCTCATTGCAATATCAAAACTCAAAGAAAGAACAACCAGAAGCTTAAACAATAGAAGCAAAAAATAATTTATAACATCTTTGCCATTATTTGCATGTGATAATTTTTAATTTTTATCTAACTCTGTGAAGCAAAAGAAAGCTTTTTAAAAATATTATGAAGCAGATATTTCAGTGACATTTTTCTACACTAATGTTTGATAACTTAAATGTCTTATGGGTGCCTTACATCTACTAATATATTTAATACATAAATAGTAACAATCTAAGACAATATACAAGGTACAAAATTACATTTTCATTAGTGCTAATTTTAATTCTAGCTTTCTGTGCCAAGGGTCAACACGCAGTGGCTCATTTTACCTTTTGCACGTACATATTTTTTTGCAGCAGTACCTGGCCTGCTGAAACGTCTCTGGCTTATATCCTGATATAACAGCATAGTTGATAATTGGGAGCCATAATATATAAACTTTAAGGATTTTTTTTCGTTCTTTACATACTGAATATTGATCTCTCTGTGTTCAATTATGATTTAGAATTTGATTAAAGGTTAAAATTCATTACAAAAGATACATTACATTACCTCCATATTTTTATTTATTTTAAAAGTTCCAAGAGTTTAAAGCCTGAACAAAGCAAATCTAAAACTATGCTTCTATCTACATGTTCCTCAGTGAATCACAGGGCTAAATATTAATAAATTCTTAGAGTAATAAAATGTTCTTCAGTTAGTTGACTATGTACATGGAAATTAAATACTTATTAAGCAAACATCAGAAGTATTACTTGTCTCTATTGATTAGACTAATAATTTTAATTCTATCAGTGTTTATCTAACACTATAGCAACAATCTTTAAAAGGACTTCAGCACATCACAAATATTTAAAATATTATTTCCTAAATAGGTTGACACTGGTCTTATATAAACCCATATATTACTCCAGCTTTAACTAGGAAAATGCATATCCTAAAATTCATTATAAGAATATTGTTAGTAATAAATTTATTTATTTATTTATTTATTTATTTCTGGTACCGGGAATCGAACTCACAACCTTGCACTTGCCAGTCAGGCATTGTGCCACTGAGCTAAATCCTCAGCCCCCCTTAGTAACAAATTTAACTGCTCCAAATAACTTAGCTCAATACACATTAGAATTACAAATGAGGTCACTATACTAATTCTATATCTCAATTCTATACTTTCTCTTTATTTAAGTTATTTAAAAACAGCAATCACAAACCTCAAAGAAAGAACAAAATGGAATTGGGCTACTTCAACTTATAAACAGGTACTCATATAAGATTTTAGCACCTATCTTCAAATATTATTTGTTATAAAACAAAAATGTAAGTCATTTAAAGTCATTCCTAGGGTATTTGATTGTTTGGTTTTTTTTTTTTTTGGTTTTTCTCTGGTTCCAGGAACCGAACTCACGACCTTGCGCTTGCCAGGCAGGTGCTTTGCCGCTGAGCTAAATCCCCAGGACCTGCTAGGGTATTTGAATACCACAAATAAATCAAATATTTGCCAACAATAAAAAGAGATGTTGATGAGTAATTGACAAACCAGAGGTGTCTTGGTTACTTTCCTCCTGCTGCTGAGCCAAAATACCGCTGCCCAGAATTAAGGAAGGAAAGGTTTATTTAGCTCAGCTTGCGGAGGTTCAGTTCATACGAGGAGGGTCCAAGGCAGAGTGGCACTTGGCAGAGGACAACAGTTCATGGCAATGGAAAACAGCCAAAGGAACAAGAGACAAAAAGGAGGAACAGCAGAGAGCAGGATCTTTCCCTCCATTATACTGTATGCAAACTACCCACCTCAGGGCTGGTGTAGCACTTACACCCGTAATCCCATCCTTGGACTATGGATCAATCAAAAACTCTAGAAGCCTGTCCTATGACTGCATGAGGCTTTGGTGGGACATGCAGACACAAATCATAAAAGGTTTTATAATTACATCTAAAATTAAAACTACTGGGGCTGGGGATTTAGCTCAGCGGCACAGCACCTGCCTGGCAAGTGCAACGTCGTGAGTTCGATTCCTGGTACCGGAAAAAAAAACAAACCAAAAAAAAAAAATTAAAAGTACCTGTTCTCTAAAGAGATTGTATTGACATTTCATGTACTCTCTGAATTGATTTATCTATTTCACTAAATGCCTTATTTTGAAAAGTTTTTATGTGATGCATATCCTTTCCTATAATCAGTTTTGCTTGGTTTGAAGATGATCTTAACAGAGTTATAGTTACTGAATTTCTTCTAACTCAATCTCTTACTTTTTCATTAAAATATTATAAATGTTCTGGTTGGTAAAGTACCTTATTAATCTGTAAAATCACATATTCTCTTGCTCAATGCATAAACACCTTGAATAACAGTATTTTGAATATGTACTGCATTATTTCACGCAGCTAGTCAAAATTTCAGTTAAAAAAACACACACAAATCAAGGGAAAACCATTTTGAAAAGGGAAATAAGAGCACTGGTAAAGAAAGAGAAAATTATTCAAAGTAATTTCTTTTAAAATAGCTTTGAATTATATAGTTTATGTATTTATCTTTTTTTTCCAGGAAACAGAAAGATGATTTTGGTTAAAATAATATTTCAGTTGCCAGATGTTAAGTTTTTATTTAAAGTAGTATATGTAGAATGAGAAGACTCTCACAATCTATATTTAACAAGTCTATAAATGATAGAATATATTCAGAAATTTCTTGCTTCTATAATGTATTTCTATAATACATTCAGAAATTTCCAACTATGATAACAGTGTCAACTTTTTATTCCCAACCCACATCTTCAAATTCCTAAATTATCAAGATCAATTTTAAAAAGTACATGAATCTATAAATGTAAAATTATTGGAAAGGAAGGAATATATTTAAACTTTGACAAAATTTTTATCATCTTTTTAGAAGAATTAGTTCTATATACTAGCAAAAATACTGTTAGTCTGCCATTCTGATAATACGCCTGTTAGTTGAATAAAATTGAAGCATGTCCACTTACCAAGTAGCTCATTTTACTCATGGTCAGACAATTCCACAAGGAGACTGGAATTACAAGCGAGACTGAAATGAAGTGAAAAGCAAACAAGTAGTAAATGAGTAAGCACAGGTTTGTTCTCTCTAAGTCTGGCCATAATGGGAAAAAATAAGAAGTATGTTCATGGACATCAACACAGGAATATCAATGTTACAAGACCATGTATTGCTTATGAGAAGGAAAAAGATCTACAATAAGATGGAATAATTAATGATTTAATTTACATCAATGAGTTAAAAAGATTGTGTTAGGTAGAAGATGACTTCCAGAACACTGAACAACACAAAAGACAAAAGTAAATACCAACAGTGAAACAAAGAAAAGAATGATAGTGAACGGCAATACACATTCCTTAGCAGGCCTAGTGGTTGGCAGGCTACTATTTTCTCTGTGAAGATGTTTTTAATTTTTAGTAGAGAGCAATTTCCAGAGTTAGATGCTTCCAGAAATTGGAAACCATTACCATGGCTGATGTGAGGAATGTAAGAAAAACAAGATCGAAGGTATAACTGAGATAAAACCCTCTGAATTTAAACTGGAAATAATCTTCAGGTTAGATGATTTGCTCCCAGAATATTCAGTAACCTCAGAATAGGCAGAGAGAATGGACAGTGACATCTTTTGGACGTTTTGGAGGGTGAGGAATTCAAAAGAAGAACAATAAAGAGAGACAGTTTGAGGTTCTTCTTAAGGTTATGCTTGAAGTGATATGTCACTCTGCCTAAGCCGGAAGCTAAGAATACAAACTGAACAGAAGGTTCATCAGGAAACAGCCACAAAATATAAAAAAAGTAACAACCACTGAAAAATAGAGGTCTCAATAAAAATGAAGGAAGAGACACCAAAATGAAGGGAGTGGGACTAAAAAATGGGATGCTTGAATTTAACAGTTGAAAAGACTAGTTGTACTTCGCTATTGTTTAGGGAAAAAATGTGATATTGGGATTCTCAAAGTATGAATGTGCCAAGTTACTAAGAGGCTGGGTGCTATTATATGATATTGCATAGAAATTTAAAGTCCACAAGGACATTGAAAAATCTGCAAAAATGAGAGAAGGACATGAGCTCAGCTTCTCAGTTAACAACAAGAAAGGTAAGTTTACTTAAAAACAATGAAATGGAGAAGAATTTAGTGTAGTCCAGAAACTTCAACTTCATTGAGGCAGGGCTAATTTATAAATGGATGGGAAAGAGAGGTCTACAAGTAACACAGTGTCGTGCAGGACTCAGTTTCCACCTTGCCGACAGCATTCAGTGGAAGGAGTATTAATGCTCTCAGTTTTGACAGGGAGATGAAAGAAGTTAGGAATGCGAGTTTACCTTCTAAAGAACAGAGGTCCAAGAATGTAGAGGAATTATCTGGGTGCAGATGAGAGGAAGTTTGGATGATCAGAAGGAATTAGTGGCTGAGGCTGACTTGAGGGTAGAAGTGTGAGGGGAGATAGGCAAGCTGAAAGGGTTTGTGGGCAATGAAGAGACATACTGGAAATACAAAGCCTGCCAGCATTATGCGGCCACAGCAGTCCTCGAGCACCAAGAAGAACCTGAGCACAGTGATAAGTAGAAGACTTTCAGCCATGTCCTGGATAGGTGACACCTCAAGTAGTTTGTTATGAAGATTCCAGTCAAGTGGGAAGAGAGTGGTTGCTGTCATCTGTGTTCTAGTTGTGTATTCAGGTTTGCAGGGATAGAGTTCTCATTTTTACATGATATTCCTGATTTTATTTGTATACTTATCTCATTCTTCTTTTGCTTTATATTGACCAATTTCAAGCTGCCCCCGAATTTTATTTACAATTTTTATTTGCATATAGTAATATGACTTTTTAAGATTCTCTTTAATTTCAAGAATATTCACACACTTAACTTGTGGTTGCAGATTGACATATTTCCCACACATTTATTTGTCACGATGCCTAAGAGAGACTTGGCAATCTCAGCTTTATTTTCACCATCCTCCATTGACGATCCACAGTAACCCATAGAAAGGTCTGTGGATTGTGCACAAAGATTGCTTTATATTTCAACAAAGACGGAAAGAGGCTTTTATGACAGACATTAACTTCAAAGAAAAATGGAGAAATAGTTTTAAATATATTGATCTTTGTACCATACAAATTGAGATTCTATATTTTGCTCCTTGAATCTACACAGAAACTGCTCTAGGCCAAAAAAATGCATCAAGACTTACAAAAGCTTTAATTATACAGCCCTTTTTCTGAGAACAGTATAATAAAGAAAGAAATTAATAATATACATCATCAATATGTTTTATAGATAATCATGCATTAATATGTTACACCATGCAGAGGAGGACAAGATGATTTTTTCAAGAAGTTGTTTGCCCACCTGAGTGTTTTGGTGGAGCATCAATCTTAACCCAAGGATGACAATTTGAAGTTCTGTTTATCTCCCAATTAAGAAAAGCCACATCCTAGATCTGTGTCATTACATGCATTCTTAAAATTATTTCTATCCACTATAGTTGTGAAACATACTGATTATTGTGAATTATTATCTGAAAACTATAAAATTTACTTTATTTTTCTAAATATATAGTGTTGTCACCTTCTGAGCTGATGTATTTACTGAAATGCACTTTAATTATGATGTCAATAAATCGCTAAAGTGTGTTGTAAGAAAACACTCTATAATTACTGACAAACTATTTCCACAGTAGTCAAATTCCTAAAAAAATTTATTCATTTTATTGTCCAGAGTTCACCTGAGAAAAATTAAAGACAGAATTTTCATTATGATATCTTTTAAGTTTAATGCGCAGTGAAGATCATGTAACAGATGTTGAGGGAAATAAGGCTGCATACTCAGAATTTAAAATAATTCTTCCATCTAGCTAAGAAGCAAATGAAAAACTCAATGTGAGCAGATATCCAAACACAGTCTTTTTTACATGGCTATAATACAGGACCTTTCTGTGACGGACATTCCTAGCAGTTCCCAAAGATCACTCCTCCGCACACAGCTAGATTACATTGTTCGGTCTCCTTTCCTGCATGCTGTGGACATTCAACCGGATGTAAGCAATCAGACTTTTGTGAAAGAAATATGTCTTCCTTCAGGTCAAAATTTATAGGAAGCAGATATGTGCCCCACAATTTTTCCTTGGGCTGGGGCACAAATGACAGTCTTTCATACAAATCTACCTTTCTGTGAGCGTGTATGCCTTGTGAATACCAGCTTAACTTTGGAAGATAATGAGTGCAAGACATGCATGTAAGATATTATGCAATTTATACTAATGACATATAAGCTTTTCTTTGGATATGGCCTGAAATTTTGGGATCACCTTGCTTACCATAATTCGTATGTTTTAAAACACTAATTGTTGTTAATAGAGTTTTAAGGGAGACATAATAACGCACAGTCCACATTTTCTAAGGTGTTGTTATTTCTGCACAGGCTTAGCTTCTCTTCATGTGCCCTTAAAGAGCATGATGCAGAGCAAGTGGTAAGTTAAACTCATTGCCTACCTGGAGTAAAGCAAGGTAACTGCTCATAAGATTACTGCTTTTAATAACCATGAAAAGGCACAATTTCATATATTGAAGTTTTCTACACTGCATTAATTATTTGCATTGTGAAACACTGGAGACCTAACTCCATACAAGAAAGTTAGAAATAAAGACCCCAGTTCTTTTGATAACTGTGGCATTCTACAACTCTCCTCCTATACAGTCAAGTGATCTATCCCTGAACTAAACCTGTGGACTCTCTAGTCACATACAATACTAAATTAGTGCCACAGAAGCTTATAATACATACTGCAAACACTGCTTCTGTTGTCAGGAGAGGGTATGGTAGCTGCACAAGATAATCACCTGACCATTGTGTGGCAGATGTGAGAGAACCAACCAGACAACAAAGATTCATGAAGTAGGCTGAGGAGATATAGGGAATGAGTGACAGCTATGAGAAAATAAGATTACCATAGAGAAAATTAATAGAGAATCCAAACTTCACTTATTTGCCAGTAACTAATAAAAATCATGACATTGGTCAATAAGGGAAGACAAAGCAGTCCAAACAGAGTGGTTTTTATGAAATAAATACTATTAGTCACAGTTATCCACAGATTTTTTCAACTTTTACAGTCAACTGAGACAGGGATTATGGAATATTTTATAAGAGCTACAAATTGGATGAAGCAAAATTATAGTCACAGCTGGGAGAGTCTGGGAAGCTGAGGACAATGAAAGGGGTAGTGAGAGTGGAAGAGAGAATCAGTCTGCGGTGCAGATATAGTGCAGAGTTTATTTATGCTACACAAAGATGCAGTGAGAACCCGTAAGGAATCAACAGCAATGTAATGAATGTAATGTAATGAATTAAATTGGACAGGTTGCTAAAAAGAAAGAAGATAGGAAAAGCTTTAACAAAACCTTTAAAACACACACACACATTCACATGCATTTTAGATACATTTTATTTTAAACAAAGAAGTTAGTTCTTTTAGAATTAAGAAGTGACTGAAAGTGTTCTGAGTAGGACAGGGCATGGTAAGAATTCACAGGGTCCTGATTTTCATTGTTGTCACACTATGACCTGTTTTATAATGTTTAGGACTGCACTGTGTTGATCATTTTTACGGTTAAAAGATTAGACATTTACACGGATGTAAACTTTTTCAGCGTGAGTATAATTTTGTGAGCCCTCTAGTTTCCTGGACATGTTCAGCCATGGAACATTTCCTGTCTGCATGAGAGATATCCACTTATTCCTCAAGAGCAGTTTCAGTCTAGAGTTGGTAGCTGTCTAATGCCTCCATGTAAGGACAGCTAGCATTACATTAGATAAAATGAGACCAAGGTTATTTTGAAACCTTACCAACTGTAATCAATAGCACTGAAATATATAAGGCTATAAATATAGATACGGTCTGCTTCAGTTAAGTCATGAAAATGTACATTCTAAGCAAACTGTGTGGTCTCAGTTGTTTAATCCTGTTTTGTGCCATTTTTCATTCCCAAAACGTACAGCCTCACAAACACCTTGTTGAACTCATCTG